GGCTCCCCGGACGGCCCGGCCCCGGAGCGGGGCGGCAGCGGGCTGGGGCCGTCGGGCAGGCGCTGCTGCGACTGCTGCTGGGAGGGAAGCCCGGCGGGCGTCGGCCCTGGTGGCCTCCCGGCCTCGAAACGTGTCTTGTGTCCGCGTGGAGGGTGGGGAGCGGGGCTGGTTCCCGATCAGCGACTTCGGTTCTACCCAGCCCTCCATGATTTCTGGGTCTTGGCGCACGGTGGCGGCCGGAACTCGGGGTTAGCATCAGATGCCAGCCGTAGGCCACCTGCGTTTGTGGCGTGTGGCCTGTGGACCTTGGCAATAAGATCTCCTTGGCTCTGCAGACAGAGTACGCCGAGCGCTTTGCCTTTCTGCCAGGAAGGGGTTTGCTGCCAGTAATTTTTTTGTAGCGTATTACAGTGAAACGATGAGAATGCAGGAGAAGCTTAAGAACTCGTAGTTAGTGCCTTAAAGTGGGCCATGCTGTATATCTGGAAATGAATTTTAAGAAATACTCTTCTATTTTGTAATGTTGTTTAACTTAGGGAGCTTGACACCTGCAGTAGCTTTCGAAGTAGACCAAGGTCAGTGGTAGGCTTTCAGCTGCTCTCATGCTCATTTGCTTGTAAAATAATACCTGCTCTTGACTGAAGCTTGTATTTGTATTAGAAATAAAAATCATTAAATATGAAAAGTACATTATTTTGGAAACATGTTTCCATGGAGATGGGGATATAAGAAGTCTAAAAGACTTTAGAGCTGTAGACTTATGCTCTTCCAAAAGACAGAATCTTCAGCAGACAGTGCAATAATATGAGGTCACTGTCTACTTTTACTGTTAATTTAAAGCAGGTCAAAGTTTTCCTGCTAGAGGTTGATGATGTAGTAGAAGATCCTTGGACAGGACTCTTAAAAGAAGCTGTATTCCCATCTGTTTATCAGAAAGGGAGCTATACCATTGGCAGACCTTGCTTGCAAGGTCTTAATATTTAAAGTAGTGTAACTGCATTTTGTGTACAGTGTAGGAACGATGTGAACTGCAAATTAGGATGTGTGTGTTTTAAACCTGTGACTAAAAAAATGGGAGGACTGCTTATCTCTTCTGGTCTGTTTCTGTCCTACCTTAATAACGCTAGAATCTGCTGATGACACAGTAGGACAAAATTGACTGCAATTAGGTGAGTCCTTCTTTCCCCAAACACGTAATCAAACTCCTGTTTTAAAACCTTAAATTGGTGCTCTCCAGAGACTAGTATTCTACTGGTTTTGTATGCTAAGATTGCTGTGGTTTTGAAGCTGACCTTTTGACTATTATAAAGACATTAAGAAAACAAGAAAGGCTGTAAATGTGGTTGTGAGTGTGAACAAGTCAAATGTATCAATATTAATCTTTGTCATAAATCCACTGCAAGCTATTCCAAACGTTTGGCTCATGAAATAGGTGATGGAAAAGCTTTGTGTGCATTCAAGCTGTCATAAAAGCTTACTTTTAGTAAAAGGGAGGTCTTGCCCTTGTATTTCCCTGGTCTTGACTGCAAAGTCATGTTCCCTGTTTTGTGTTGTCCCTTGACTTCCTGCTGGATTTTTATTGAGATTATGTGGTTTTCTTTCACTTGAATGACTTGGGGGGGGGGGGCATTTCTTAGCTGTTCTAGTGAATGAGTTAGCTCACAAGTGCATCCTAGATGACATACAGTAAGATAGGGGAGGAGGGAGTGGAATCCTTTCCCCTGTTGCCAGTGATGCACAGATTAGTTTCCCATGCAACTGCACCTTCACCCTTAGTTTTCTTTGTATTATCTTAGTTACATTCTTCTTTTCTACTTTCAGTGTGAAGAAGGTAACAACTTATTTTCTCCTCTTGCAGGAAGAGGATGATTGGAAGGAGTTTGAGCAAAAGGAAGAAATTGATTATAGTGGTCTTAGAGTTCAGTCCATGCAAATAAGGTATGACTTTTTTTCTTTTTCTCTCTAGTATAATAATTACCTGAGTCTAAAAAGTGTGTTTTTTCTTTAGAGCTGCCTCTACGGAGCCCAGTTAAACAGAGGTTTGAGATGTGTCTGCTAGTATACAGGTTTGCTGCAGGGTTACTTAGGTTAACTGTTCTCTGCTAATGTTCTCTTTATTTTCTAAATCTCCATTGATACTCTAGGTCTATCCGTTTTGGTTGTAACTCAGATTTTTATTACAAATGCTTAACATTGCCCTCCATAAAGATAGCGAAGGAGGAATTCCTTTGAGAGCGTGGTGTAGGGTAGTAATTCCCACTGACTCATTTGACCACTGTAAGGGTATCTGACTCAATCTATTTAGCATCTCAAGTTTGGGGAGTGAATTCCTGAAACAGTGCATTTTTATTTAAAAAAAAAAAAAAGAAAATGTAGTTGGTAAAACTGGTGTCCCATGACAAGTCCCACAGGATTGCGTTATGAGTCTCATCCAAGATTCTTTGCTTGCTTTTTCATTAGATTATTCCTGTAGTCTGGTCCAAACTAAGTCTACTTAAGCGTGTCCTGCTTAAGAAAAATGTTTCATCAAGTCAGAAAAAGGATTTTCGTGACCTCAGTCTTTGACTGAGAATATCACATAATCCTCATTGTCCAGGTATCGATGATGTTCAGAATAGTATTATCAAAATCATCTTGCCTGTAACCAGTGCAGCACATGTTTTCTTCACTGTTTGAGCAGATCTGACATGTTGTTTGCTTTTTTTATAGCACCCCTGCCCCCCTTAAGTAGTCCTTTTAGGCTGTTTGCACATATTTGGTCCAGACTGTCTATATCATTGAAGTGTCACAGCAGATAATCACATGTCTGAATGGACAAGTAACAAGTGGGCTGCTGCTTCACTGACTACTAGTACTGTTTGAAAAGCCAGGACTTTGGTTTTTCAGACAAAGGCCGGCATTCTGAATGCTTTTGATGCTGTGGCAGATTTTCAGGCGTGTAGAAGCTTCTGCCATGGGATTTTGGAACCATTCAGTTAGTGGATCCAAGGGGAGAGTAGAGAAGTAAATGGAAGAAGTTATAAATTATCCAGCTCTGGAGATCAATTTGCTGAAAATAAGACGCAGAGTATCTGGCAGGGGTGGGGTGTTATGTATACTTTGTTCTAGCTAGTCTGTAGGCATCTGCTTTTGACTGTGGTTTAAAATAGAACAGTGATGTGTTTAGGTCCTTAGTCCAGCTTACGATGATTGTTACTGGATGAACAGTGAAAAACTGTTTCATTTTCAGAAATTATAGGTATTTTTAATTGTTCTCTAATTATTACTTATATAGAAAGCTTATCCAATCATGATTAGTAAGATTTGGTGTATTATAAACTACTGCTGTATTCACACTTTCCTGCTGGTGTTCAGGTCAGTGTCCTGGGTCTTTTAACAGCCTCACCCTCCACATATGTCCCCTTATACCACACAGCTTTCTGTAGTAGCTTTGTCTAGCAAATTATTTGGAGCCTCTCACTGTTTCTATGCAAAATAAAATAGTCAGGCTTTTTCATAGGATTTATCTTTTTAAAATATTGTATTTTTTGATTGCCTGCTTTACAAAAAAATCTGAGTTGGTTTGTAGATTATATTTGTGTGGGTAATGTAAGAGTGTTTCTCAGGTGGTTGTGATTATAGGGAAAGGGAGCTCAGGACTTGCTTTCTGTCACTACTTTTTCACAATTTCTTTCTCTTGACAAAAGCATTTTATGGAAGCTGGACTTGTACCCCTTTCCTGCTTTATGTTCTCATCACTTCCAAAGGCATGACTATCTTGATAAGCAAAAACTCTTTAAGCTCAAAATAAAAAAATTATTTGATGACTTAGTACAGTTTGAATTTGTATTTTTTTAAGAATTTTTTTCCTTCTTGGTTGCCAAGTTACACAGCAGCATGCCAAAAATTGTTGACTAATACAGTGGTTACACAGGACTAATGTAGACTGATTAAATCTAGTATCTTCAGTACAATAGCTGTGAAGTCTTGGCTATGGTGATTGTGTTATCTGTGGCAAGTCTTAAACCCGTGTTTGTGAAATGCTACTGATCATTTCTCTCTTATAGTGAAAAAGATGATGATGAAGGTGAAAAAAGAGAAGAACCTGGTGACAACTGGGAGGAGACTGGTAGTGGTATAGACAGATCATCTGGTCCTTGGAACAAGTCAGCTCCTGCACCAGCACCTGTTGTTGAACCAATTGGTAAATTTAACTCAGTTGTTGCTTTTTCCAGTCAGAAACATCCTAGGTTGAATTAGGGTGCTCAGAGCATAGAGCTCAAGGAGCAGTTCTGTTCAGGTACTTTGTCACATGCTGATTGGCTTGTTTGACATATTAGCAAATGAGGAAATTTTCCTGCGAAGGGATCTGAGGAAATGAATTGATAGTGCTGTCAAATAATTTAAACATGAATGGAGGGGGGTTTATTTCTGACTTCAGAAGGGGAGGTAGGAGGAGCATTCCATCTTTGAAGGAGATCCCTCTACTTTGCAATTTGAAAAATACCTGCTGGAAGCATTTCTGTTGATCAAAAAATAGTTCTTTGACAATTAAGTGGATGTTCAGCCAATATATGATGTCTAATATGGCAGTCCTTGAGTAGGGTTCCATGGTGAGTAGTATGCTTTTCAGGTCAGTTCTAGGGTACAGAGAACATGATATTGCAAAATTGATTAACTGGAATGGGACTTCAGTTTTGATTAAGTACAATTTATTAGCATCAGTGGTGATGAACTCCTTAGTCATGATCTGGATTCAGAGTGTTCTCTTCCATTGAAATTCACTGAAAAGTGGCCTGCTGTTTTTTTTCTTGTTTGTACAGGCAATGAGGCAAAGTTAATTAAATCACTGTTATTTCATTGTAGATTGTTACTGTAAATACAAACTATTTGGATAGTCTCTTCTGTATCTGGAGAGGTGCTTTAAAGACTTGCCAAATATATAATTATGTGTTTAGATCTCTAGTTTGAAATGTAAGCTGCTAATAAATTGCAAATAGGAAACATGAAGACCTCCATCAGTGGTTTCGGTTCCCTGAACTTTGTGAGGCAATACATTTGGAGCCATATTTTAATTTTCTGCTTTGTCTAAAATACTTCTGGAGGTTTAAAAGGTGCAAAAACATACTTGAAAGATTCTTTTATTTGTGAGTTGGGTTTTTCTTTTTCAGATATGAATGCGAACTTACTCTAGTGTCTAAATCTTGTTCTTGTAACTAGTTACAGAAACCCCAGAACCAGTCCAGACTGGTGGTGTGTACAGGCCGCCTGGTGCCAGGGAGGGCGGCAGGCCACGAAGAGCACAGCAAGGACCACCAGAAATCTATAGCGATACGCAGTTTCCATCACTGCAGTCCACTGCCAAGCTTGTAGACAGTCGAAAGTAAGTACATTCCATTAATTTCCTAAGAGATGTATTTTTAACTGCCTTGTCTAAGTTCTTACTTTTAGGGCTTAAGCCTGTATTTTTCCACAGAGGAAAGAAATAACTTAAATTATTCTGTTTGGCAAAGAGATATGGGAGAGGTCTTAACTGTATTTTGCAACTCCAGGAAGGGCTTCGCATGAAATAACTTTCATGGGACATAGCACAACAAGACTGCCAGTTACCTTATCTTTGACTTGCTGAAGGATTTCCCTGAAGCAGAATATTTCTGCTCTTGACAGCATCTGGTTCCCTGAGCTACTAGCCATGGTGAGGCTCTGTGCTACTACCGTCAGTAGGCATGAGTAGGATGTCTTTAGCACACTGCCTTCTCATTAGAGATGTGGAGGTAACTTAAATGGAGGAATGGGGTTTAATACAAATCAGTAAACTTGCTGTCTGAGCTGTGGTTTACAGTGATGAGCCCCTCCAGTTTTGCTGAAGTGTTTTGTACTTTGTTGTGCTGAAGACTTGAGTCTCGCCCTGCTTTTGAGTCCTGAATTTTCTGTAACCTTGTTCCATACAGAAGAGATAGCTAGGCCAATACCCCATTCGCTTGGGGTTTTGGTGGTTTTTTTTTTTTTTGTTCTGCTTGCTGTGTTAATGACTCATACAGCCTAGCAGAAGCTTTGTTTCTTCTTGGGGTTTTTTTGTGTCATTGATGCTTTAGGGTTTGAACAGTGCAAATTGAGCAAAGATTCTGTGTGAGCATTCTAGAAATGGACTTCTGCTTTCTAAAACCTGTTTTTCATAAATGTACTTAAAAGTTTTGAGAATGTTAACACTGAAATTAGACTGTAATCTGAATTGCACTGGGTAATGAGCTTGATTCTGGAGATAAGGTTTTACAAGACTTGCTTGGGAATGTTTGGCTGTTCTGTTAACAGATCTTCATGTTCTGTGTTCATAATGTTTTTGTTGGGATGGGGTGGAAATCAATTAGAAATTCACAATTCACAAGCTAGTGACAAGATATTTACTGATTACATTTATTTTCCCTTAGGGATAAAGAAATGGAGAAGAGCTTTGAAGTAGTAAAACACAAAACTAGAGGTAGGGATGAGGTCTCAAAAAACCAGGCACTTAAACTTCAGCTAGACAACCAGTATGCTGTGCTTGGGGATCAGTAGAGCTGCAGACACATTACAATTAAGGAATGCTTTTTTGGTAACCCTTCTACTAAGGTAACTAAACTACAGCTAACGGCTATGATGAACATGCCACCTTATTTCTGCTGGATCTACTGCAGCAAGCGCAGACTACTTTGACGTAAGTGATTGGTTCTCCTGCAATATGGAAGCATAATATGTTACAACTTCTCCATTGGATATGGGGCAAATTAATGTAATGATTGAACAAGAGTCATCAGTGTTCTTTAATTGCTCAGAAAGATACCTACAGCCAGTGGTCATTTCAAAATCTTTTTATGTTCAGATACTGAGCCTTCGTAAAGGTTGACTACCTCAGACTTGCTGCACTCATTGTGGACACCATGTGGATCACAACTTCTGGAAGAGAAGGTTACAGCTGTTTTAGTGGCCATCTGAAACTTGAAACCAGCTCTACTGGATTCCTGTCAGAAATCCTGCAGAAGTCAGCCATTTGGTTCCAATTTGCTATAACAAAGATTTAAGTGACCTTAATGACAAACCTATTCTGTTCCCCTTCTGAGGAATCCTGTCATGTGTAGCCATAGCCTACTAGAGACTTATGGAGCGTACCACACCACTCTCACTATCTGAGTAGAACAGAGCTGTAGTTTGTTTACCTTTTTAGATAGCTGTACTGAAGAAACTACAAAACACATTAAAACTCACAGTATCAGATTTGAGGATCGATGAGTTTGAATGGTCTGTTTGCATTAGCCATTTTCAGTTGTCTGTTTAAGTATTTTTCTCTGTTCTCCACAAAAAAATGCCTGCCTTGTTTCTGGTATCAAATTGCAGTATATTTAAATAACAATGAGATGTTGTAGTGAAATAGGGTTCGTTTTGTTTTTTTTTTTTTTTGTCATGAGGTTTGTCTGTCTTGCCCTAAAGCACTAAGACTTGAGTTTCTATTTGCACAGAGGTATCCAGACTCTTGACTGCAGTCTTCAGAATTTATCTTTTAAAAATGAGATATGTGGCAGTAGCGTTACTAGATAAAAAGTTCTCCTCTGTTTAAAATAGTTATTTGTTCGTTGAAGGGGTTATTTTGATAACCAAAATAGCTTAGTATGCAGAGGGATAACTAAAGCTGGCAAGCGTTACTTGTTTGGCTACTTCTGTGAAGCATGCAGGCTTTTGAGGGCAGAAATCCTCTAACTAAAACTCATAAAAGGTGTTTATTCAAAGTCAGGAAGTTTAGTAATAATTGAAGGCAGTGACTTCTTTAAGTTGTTGTCATCTCTGACTTAATTTAGTGGAAGTAGGCAAAATGGCTCAGTTACGGGCAACGTCCTATATTCTTAGTGTAACTGATTCAATGAACCAAACCCGTCAAGTACCAAAAGTGTCCTGCTGTAACTGTTTTTCTCTTCTCTGAATTCTTACACCAGAAGCAAAATGAAGTACAATAGTAGCGTGCTCCAGTGTTGAGGTTTCTCAGAGTCAATGCCAAAAAATAGACCCAATATCCGTAAGAGTTGCCAATGGCAAGAAAACCAAGGGAACAAAACAAAACTTGCTTACGTGTGTGGGAGTACTGTGTATGTGCAGAAGATGAGGATAGCGCAGGAATTGCCTAGCTGGGTTCCCTTTGACTAACTGCTGACTCGCTTTAAATCTACTTTTCTGAGGCCAATTGGAATTTTGCTGTTGACTTCAGCAGGGCTGGGGTTTCACCTGGTTGTTCTGTGCACAGACTAAAACTGGCCTTGTCCTTGCAGAGTTAACTGTCTCTAAAACTTCTGCTAGAAGCTGCTATTAAAAGAGGGCTCAAGAGACTATTCTTTAAGTTGGAGACTTCATTTGGAAACAAAACCCCACTGAAAGACTGATACCAATAGCTTGGACTCTGAGCCATGTATCTTCCTTGAAAATAGATTGTTGCCAGCAAAACTGTTGATTTGTCACTAAAGATTTCTGTGGAATTCATGGTAAATGGACATGTCACTGGATGTGGTAGAAATGTGAAATCTTAAAACACTTTTTCTGCTGGTCTAAAGCAATTGAGATCACCAATGCACATGAATCAGATTTTAGTCTACTACTGTATGAAGGGTAGATGAGACTGTCCATTGTACCATCTTTATTTGAGGTTTTGGGCATGAATTCTGGCAGTTCAAGAAAACCCTGTAACAGTTTCAAATCAAATAAAATGGAAATATACATGGAATCTGGAGTCTAATGAATCTTTACCTTTAGTTTGAGCTTATGACTGTATGACAGCTGAGGAAATGCAGAGCATTTGGATCTCTCAAGGGACAGGCCGTGCAGTGGGTAGTCAGCCTTGTGGTCAGGTGGGCTCTGCTTAAGAGCTTCTAGCAGTGCATATTAGTATGACTTTATACCTAGAAGTTTGGTTTGCTACCTGTCAGAGTGTCTTCTGACTCCCACCATATAGGACTGGTTTGAGATTGTGAATTGAGTATGAATGAACCTTTGATTTGCTTTTCATTTGAAAGTAGCTCTGCTAAATTAAAGAATGAAAAAAAAAAAATCTAAACCACCCCAACCTCTGGATGGTTGCTGTCGCCGGTGTCCATCAGCTACTGATAACTAGGGGTGTTACTTTGGGGGCTTGTCTTAAATGTATCATTCCAGGTTCTTTCTGGAGGCATAAAGGAAAAAAAATCAGAAATGCAGCAGATTTCCATAGTACGGAATGTTCAACTATTTTAAAGTGTTTCTTGTGTTAAATATCGCTGCCAGCAACTATCAGAATGCCAGTTGTCAGTATCTTCCTTGTAACAATTAATTGTTCTGCATGCCTGAAATTTTGCAAGTCAGTCCTCTGTGGAAGCTCAGTATGCTTTTGAGACTGAAGTCCAACTTTATTTGGTTTGTTGTTGCGTATATTCGAGGCATGCTAAGAATGTCCATTTCATTCCTTCAAAATGCTCGTTAAAGACTCATTCCATAAATGAAGGATTGTCAGTTGTAGAAATGAGATCCTTGATACAGTCAGTAAAATGAAGTCAAATGCCAGTTCAGGATCTTCCTAACCTGTAACATGCTTTTACAGTGGGTTAATTATTAATTTCCAATTTAAAGGTTCTGTTTTACTTTCTCTGGTTTAAAATAAAAATGAAATAAACACAGTCACAAAGTTACCAACTTGCTAGTAGAACGTATAAATATCCAGTACTTACTGGGAAAGGAACAATCTGGATTTGTCATTTTTGGTGATAGAGTCTGTATCTAAGGAATGTTAAAATGCCAAAACCTAGATAATTTTAATAAAGTTGACTTCCCAAATACCTGCTGTAGGAATCTGGCATCTGTATTTACTTGAGCTGATGATAAATATAGGAGAGAATCAGTTTTGCAACACCTCTCACCCTCATCTACCCACCCCTCGTTTAGCTGTGCCATGTTACAGCTTACTCATGAAGAGGAATTGACAACTAAAAGTGACCATTTCCTGCTCCTTCAGTTTTGTCTTTGTAGCTAGCTTTACCAGTCATGTTCAAAGTAACTCTCTTACAAAATTTACAAATAGTTCGTACCATTAAAAAGTCATCTAAGTTGGAGACGAATCTGTTGGCTCTTGGAAACTCCTTCACTGCAATATGCCTATGACACATGTGCTGTTTAGGTCAAGTAAACACAATATAAATTTGATAGGGCTGCACATCTTGGAGTTTGCTTATCTGAGCTTTTGCAATAGTTGTATCTTTTTGTCTTTTTAATTTGAGCTTGGTTGACCAGTTTTAAACTTGCTTGTGGTTGTCTGTCAAATACCATAACTAAAATGGAGCATGTTACTCCTTAGAATAACAGGGCTTTGTGTGCTAAAAGGTGCTTATTTACAAGGTAGTAATATTATTTTTTCCAACACTGACATGGTCAGGGAAAGTAATACCTCCTATTTTACATAACCAGTTTGTATCAGAGGTCCAAGAAACTAAATTTTACCCAAAACACCTCGAGTAATTAAAAATCTCTATGAATAACTACAATCCAGGTTTTGTTGTCTGACTGTAACTTAGTTCCCAGATTGTCCCTCTGTGTTCAGCTTTTAATTTCACAAATTGGTTTTAATGGTAAACAGGGGCTTTATTTGGGAATATAAGAAAATAGTAACATGAGTATTTAAATTCCAGGTATATAAATTAAGTACATATAAAGGAGGAGGAAATTTACATGTTTGCCAATAAATTCTTCAGAAAAAGTTAAAAAATCAGCTTGTCTGTATTGAGGTTAATAGAAGAACCTGCGAGTTCCAACAGATGGAAGAAGAAATGATGGCAGAAAACAGAACTGAGTCTAATACTGATTTGGATAAGTCATAACTATCATGTATATAGAGTTGGCTTCCTAAGCTCCAAGTGTATTTCCATCATGTTCTATTTGAAGTGAAATAGAACAGGAAGGAAGGTACTTTTTTTTTTTTTATTGGAGGGAGTGGAAATTATGCAAATAAAGCACAGGAGGTATAAGAAGAGAGGGATTAGGAAGGCTGTTTTCTAAATGGTACTGTTAAATGCATAGCCTGAGGTAGGGGAGTGTAAGTGGTTGGATAGGAGGGGAAGTGCTGCACGGATAAGCACTCTTTACAGTGGCAGATCCATCTGACTTTAAATCAACAAAAGTGTTTGAAGTTCAGTACTTGGGGAAGGCATCCCACTTTATTTTTTCCCTTCAAAGAAAAGAATCAGGAAAACCTATTGACAGAGAAGGTAGGATTTTGCATTGGAACAAAGCTAACCAGTTGCCTAAAGAGAGAACTGAGTACAAATTCCAAGATGATAGTTCAGCAATCTTATTAGGAAATAACTTGTTTCATATTTAAGAAAACTTCTTTTCACTTCTATGATAAAAAGCTGAGACAGTGATTCAAATTGCTATGAAGACATTTCCCTTTTTTATGAAGCATCTTCTAATGGTATATATATCGTGGGTTTATATTCAGTTGCTTAAAATATATGTTGATAAAGCAAGGTTAATGAAGTTCAATGGGCTGCTTAGCCAGAATACAAATATTAAAAGTGGATCACAGTATCAATGAATCGTCAGAAAAAACACGGCATCTGGAATACTGGAGTGGAAATTATCATCTGAAACAACTGCATGCACTGGAAAGAAGCAAGCCCATTTTGTAGCAAGAGCATAGGACCAAGAGAGTGGGGTTTAGCTTTGGTTTTCCACTGAGTTGCTGTGTTAATTTTTAGTTTCACTTTGCCTCAGTTCCCCCAGCTGTACCAAAAAACCCCAACCACCTACCTCACAGGGGTGTCGTGAGGCCAAAGCTGTTCTTTGTCAAGGGCTGGGGCTGATGGAAGGTGTGACAAAGGACTAAAAATCTTTATTAAAAGATCTTTATATTAACTTTCATTGAAGTATTTTAATAGTACTCTGGGAAAGGCTCATTTCTACAGACTGTAATAAACATTCTATTTAAGACTTGGTATGTATGGGTAAGGAAAAAGTTCAGGCTTAGCACTCTTAACTGGTTTTTCCTCTTTAATTTTATGTGCATCCCAAATGGTATATTTATGAGCCTTTAGAGGGAATACATTAAAATCAGTATTGCTCTATTTTGTAAAGCCCATGACTGCAGTAAAATCCTGCTCACAGTTGATAGCCATCTCTTATAATGTGGCTGTTTTAAAGTTTGTTCAAATTACCTGAATTAGAAATGTTCACTCCTGAAAATTTCTGTCAGGATACCAAAGTGGTATTTTGTAGTAGGAATGTAGTTTTCCCCTCTCCACATGTAAACACACATTTGTCCTACTGAGTAATCTTAACTTCAAAACTTTTACAATCTGGTATTAAGGCAGGCTGTGGAGGAAAAAAATGAAGGGAATGAAACAAAGACAAGTAGTTGCCCATGGAGAGGTTTCTGTGAAACAGATAAAGGAAAGAAACAATCAAGACAGAACTGAGAGGTGTAAGCAGAGGGATAGGTAGCAGAGGAAGGAATACAGATACAGAAGAGGTGATTACCTTATTTATTATTGTCTCCTGCTTTATCAGTTAACTGCATCTGAAGGAACATGAAAAAATAATTTTTATGAGTATGCCCTTGTCTGCTGTGGCTGGTGATTTCAAGGTTCATTGCTCAGCTTTTACAGTGGGCCTCCAAATAGAAGCACAGAACATGATGGTGGTGTGCACACAGACAAATTAGACCTCCGGTGGGTACTGGACAGAGATGAGGCCCAACAGCTATCTTCTCTTACTGATACTTTTATCATTGCAGCACCTCTAAGACAGTTGCTACTGTGCATCAGCTGTGACAATTCTGTCAGCAATTATTACTGTTAAATTTCAACAAACTACTGCAGTTACTTCAGAGGAAATGTTTAACTAGCTGCATAATAAGCCTTAAAAGAATAACATGGGGGTTTTTGGAATACTTAATGGTGATTATGATAAGTAATATTGAGGTCAACAGACTGGTAGGTGGCTTAAAATGACTCTGATGTATATATCCTGTTACATGGTGGGGAGGAGAATTACTTACAAGATGTCTATCATCTATTCTTTTCCCCTCTTAAATAAACTACCTTGGTCTTACTGTCGCTCCAGCTACCAAGAGCTGCTTCTACCATTCTCTTACTACTTTCTGCCCTGTATTTTTCTAATATGTCACTTTAAGGTGCTGATGAAACAGCAAATACTAATTTAGGACCTCTAAGAGAAATAAATGCTGTAATATTTTTCCATATTGTTCTGTCTTTAATACAGCCTAACATCTTATTCGCTTTCTTGACTGCAACTACACATTGAGCAGATGTCTTCATCAAGCTGTCCATGGTGATGCCTAGATCGTCCCTTTGAAAGATCACAACTAATTCAGAATCCACCAGAGCATGTATGAGTGGTTTATAGCCTTTCCAGTATTCATTGCCTTGGGTTTATTTTTTGTTGATGTTCACTTGCCACTGAATTGCCAAGTTTACAGAGTTAGCTTACCCTGGCAATCACCATCTTCCCCAGTGCTGACAAATGTAGTAACTTCCTATGGGCACTGGCTTTTGACATCTGGTGTACTGAAGTCTTCAGTTTCATGTATATAATTCACTCTTCTTACCAGTGATTAGCATGGCATGCTCTTACTAACTTTGACTCAATCTGAGTTTTTCTGTTCTATTTTCTTGTCTCCTATCTTCTGTATTGGATCTTCTTTCTAGCTCAGTTACAGCACTGAAGTCATCGAGTTATAGCTGTCTGCTTTATTTCAAATACTTTGCCTACAGAAAAGCATTAGTTACAATGTTGTCACTTAGTTACAGTGTTCTTTTTTTAAAAATAACTTATTCCACAGAATGTATAACCATAACAAAATGATTCAAACCATAAAAACAGGCCAATACAAGAGAACAAATGCATTGAGATACAGGTAAAACAAACATGAATCTGATCTCCCAGAGCTTAACTTCACTGGAGTTATTTCTGTTGCTTGAGATCAGTTTCATTAAAACTTGATTTGAGATCTCACCAGAAGTCTAGAAACAATAGCCAGAATCAAGCACAAGCAAACAAGCCCCATAGCAAATTTGTTTTAAGTTTTTTGGGTTACTTTGTGGCAGAGATGAAGCAGCTGTATTACTTGGTCTCTGACTGGCAACCAAAGGGGCTCAGCCACGCTTAGTCTAAGTGAATGCTGAAATTACAGTATCTGAGATGAAGATGAGTGCAGCAACACTGGGGGGCAGGCTTAGTCTTTGTGGTTTGTTTCATCTCTTCACATTCTCATCTTGTATTCTAAAGATCGTACATGTGTAAATGAGGTTAAGTCTTAAGTGTTGACTGCATTTACCAGTAATGCTGCATTTATAAATACAGAAGAGATGTTGTAAGGGAAGACTCAAGCCTGTTAAGATGTATAGCTTACCACTTAAGAGCAGCATTGTCTCAATATCAGAATACTATTATCATAGAGAACAGCTGCTTTGCAGTAATAAGGATACGTGATTGAGAAGAATGTACCTTGGATTTCACAATTTATTTGAATGCACCTGTTAGGTGTTCTATTACAGTACTTACTAGTATTCTGTCAAAAACAATTGTGCTTGCTGGGGATTTATAGAGTTGGCAAATAGGAGCTGAGGTTTTCTGTTAATTTTGAGGGGGCAGGGGGGAATAGAGCAGATTGCAGCAATAGCTGAAAGTTGTCAGAATGTCGTACTTCACATACCTTCTCCCACACTTCTAAGACTCATCGCTGCTGCTACACTTGCCAAAGCCCTGTCTTGCCACTGCAAATCCTTATTGTGTTATTTATTAACCACCCCATAACCTTCAGGACTAGTTTTCTGATTACACACTGTGTCTCTAATCTGGGAATTAGGTAAAAGGCAAACTGGCTTTCTAAAATGGCATGACAAGTGTTTTCTGGATAATTGGCTCCAATTGCTTTTTCTGCGTATCAGAGACCAGCAAAAGTGTCTTGATTTGACCCGTCATTGGCTCCAATTGCTTTTTCTGCATATTAGAGACCAGCAAAAGTGTCTTGATTTGACCTGTCTTCACCCTAGAGTATTAGCTCCTTTTTTCACCTACATTATTACCATGCCAAGGATTTCTAGCCAGGTGCCTGAACTGTTCGCCACTTAGAAAGCAGCTCTGTAAGCAAGAACTCTGGAGTCTTGATCATACTGTATTTCTTCAGTCAGGGCTCTAGCATCACAAACACAGCTCTAGCTGTTGCAAAACTGCTTAGCAAGTAAATTTGATCTCCTCCAGATAATTTAAACCCGGACCCTCAAAGGCTACACAGGAGCCTAATTCCCTCAGAATACAGCAAAATGAAGGCAGTAGCACTGGTCACAGTGTAACACAGTTCAGCTACAAAAAAGGAGTAGGGTTGCATGACTGGTAACATGCTAGCTCAAACAAAACTGTCTTACCTGGACAGCATGGCCTACCCTAAAGCATTCTTATTTTTTGAATGAAAAGATGACTGAGTGAAGAATAGTAAGAGGACATCCCTGTTAAGTGAAAAAAATATGAAACTGAATTTCAACAATGTACCAGAATGTTTCACCACCAGACTAAGATGAAGAAGTTAAGATAAAGCCATTTGAGTGCTTGTTGTAGTGCAAAGGAACGAATGATACTGTCTGGCTGGGAAAAGGGTTGGCTGGGAGCCCACTGAGCACAGCAGAAACTTTCATCAAAGTCAAGTACAATACAATCTATTCCTGAGAATCCCTGTGTGGCCCCCACAGTTAACACAGGAACCTAATGGTGCCTGTATATTTATATAATTATATGTTTATAGTCATAATTTAAGTTCAAAACCTGAACTATATATATATATATTTTTTTGTCAGTAGATTTTTTTACCCTGGTTTACCTATCATGGCTTCTGCATATGACAACTTCTAACTGTGCAGTGCACACACCTGTTGTTGTCCTTTTGTCCCATGTTAGAGTAATGGTATCAAACTCTGTAAAGCACTTTTGTGATGTTTCCTGTGAAGAAAGGTGAAGAAAATAAATTTATCTTAACAGCACCAACTGAATTTATACCTCCAAGTTTGTCTCGCTGTTGTTGTGTTCACCCCTTTCTTCAGTTGCCATGACAGGCAGCAGCATGCTGGGTGTCAGTGTGCTGTTCTAGGCTCCGGCTGTAACAGCCACTTTCTGCCTGTTCCCTCCAGTGCTCTCTCAGTGTCTGTTCTTACCCACGGAGGCTCAGGGCCTTCCTTCCCCCGGCTTACAGCCCATCTCCACCCAGGGCCCTGCGGACTGCACGGTGCACGTACGCCTGCGCGAGCAGAGCAAAGGGCCCAGGAACAGGTAACGCTCAGCTCCTACGTTACTGGTTGCACTGGGGGTTGGTATGGGTCTAGTTTTACCTGCTCCCCACTTCTGATCTGACCCCAGTATTCACAGCAGCAGGAACTATGTGGCTCCAAGACTTCTTTAAAGCTTAGCTAAGTGGGTCAAGGGAGTGGTTTCTTATCTGTAAAGTGAGAAATAGCAGCTTCAGCTGAGGATGGGGAAGAAGGAAAAAAATAAAAGTCACAGGACCCTTAGGTCTCACCTACTACTATATACACCTCTTTAAAATGCCTGCAATGCAAAGCATTGCAGAGGTAGAACAGAGAATGGCCAGTGACACACAACGGTAATTCAAAATGTGACGTGGCATTAGCAGCATTATTTTCAGTATGTGGACTGGGGGAAAGTTGGAGATGTTTGACATCCAGAAATAGTAAAAAGCATTAAGCTGTTAAGATCAAGAAAAGCAAAACAGGTGCTGAGTCACAGCCTGAGCCCCCACTGATAGGGGCACAGATCTCACTTGTTAGAATCAAATCCCTCAGGCTCAGTGGCATCTTTCAATCCTGACAACTCCGGGTCATCCCAACAGTGTATTGCCGAGCTCACTGACAAAATAGCCACTGGGCTCCAGTGGGAACTGCCTTGCAAGTGAATGCAAGCTGCCTTCCTCCTCCCCCTCTCACCTGGGGACTCCCACAGCCCAGGGCCTGTCCCCTGTCTGCCAGCAGCAAGGGGTTTGTGCTCCTCAGGTGCCTCAGGGCAGCGATGCTTGTAGCTCCTCCTACCTTCCATCTGCAACCAAAGATAATGGTGCAAAGCCTTTCTATACAACAGAGTATTCAGCCACTAGAAAATAAAAGTAGAATATACCCCCTCAACCAATAAAGAAGTACATTAAATAGACTTTAAAGACATTACATCTATTTCCCCAGACCACTACACAAGTGGAGGTCGTACTTTTCTGTTCGAAGAGGCTGCAGCAATTCTAGTTGCTTAAGTACAGCTCTTCAGATTTCACACACACAAACACTTCTACCCAGACTAACGCAGCACAAGTCACATACAGGAAGTTCAGTAGAGAACCAGACCCCACAGTTAATTACTAAAAGGTCAAGCAGTTTGTCAAATATTGTGGTTATCTGACTAGGAACATTTCCAGCTGCTGGAAACCAAGACCTTAGTTCTGCCTCTGGTTCTTGTTGCAGACTCAAGCAGGGAGCGTGGTCAGACAAGCATCACCTCAGCCAGAGTTGCTTCTGTTTGCTGAACAGATTTGTTAGCACTCGGAATGGCAGCACCTCAACAGCACCTCTGTTTTATAGAAATAATTTACTACACCCTCTATCAGTACAAAAATTTACAAGCCATTTTTTTGTCTAGTTTCCCTTTTCCCCTCCAATAAAAACCAGCAAAATAGGAAAAATTCATGTAAAACCTAAGAAATCCATTACTGTGTGGGAAATGCAATCGAATTCTTATCAACTGGTACTTTCTCCAACACACAGATGAAAGATGTAACAAGCATTTCACAAAGTATTTTTTAACTATTAATATGCAATGGTGTCCCTAAACAAAATTATTAGTGGGACATTTTGAAGACAAAGTCTTTTTTGGATGAGTTCTTGCCATAGTTTTAGATGCTACTGGTAACCAAAGCAATCTTTCCAATGACTGTTAAAGTTATTTTAATCTCAGGACACGTTAGAAGTGAAACTCAAAGCTTTTAATTTTTGTGGCAAGAATTAAGAAATATAAATATGAATTTAAAAAGGTATAAATTAGAAGCACAGAATTTGCTCATTGTATTCTGGATCGCTTGACTCTGCTCGTTTCTCCCAGTGCTTTTCTTTTCTGGGATAATCCAGTTCCAAGTTCCATGTTATTCTGAAGGTAAGATTCAGCTTCTGGCAGGCAGTAAGACTGCATTGGGGGAGGTGGATCCTTCAATAAAGGAAGAGAAAAAGAAAGTGGTTTAGCTCAAGAAGCTTCTGAGAAGAATGAAACAGCTCATTAGATTTCTAAAATTAAAAATAACAAAACACTGCACACCTACAGTCTGAATGCATTTTGCAAGCTCCCTACCCTGCCTCAGACCTACTGCCAGCACTAAAACAAGTTATAGCAGTTACAATTTGAGGCTACAGATCAAAAGACTTGGCCTAGGCACTTGTGGCCACAAATCCTGGCAAAGGTGGCACACAGTGGGTAGAGCAGTGATCCCTCTTGGAGGCTTTGGGGTGAGGGGCCTGCCCCATCCAACCTCCCACGGCGGGGCAGGTGAGGAGTGCCCCTCAGCATGCCCTGGGGTGTGCACACCTGGATGAGGTAGTCAGCGATGTACTCTGGTTTCAGGCAGTTCACTCCTTGGGCTGCTGCCTCTGCCACGCTAACCCTGGTGTCATCTGGCTTCAGCTTACTGAAGTCCGCAAAGAGATGAGTCGCTTCTTTAAAGAGAGACACAGAATGACCAGAAAACACCTACAGATTAAAACACGACAGACAAAAACAGGTTTATTTTCATGTTTCTTACCCAAGACAAATGCAGTTCATGAGCTGTAATTTCACTCATCAAATTAACCGGCTAACCAATGTGAAATAAAATATGTACACCTGCATTTTGTACCATCATGTACCTTTTAAGAAAGGTGATCCTTCTCATCAGAGCAGGGCACAGAAATTCTGTCCTCAATTCCTACCAGCCCTACTGACTTGTGCCACCTCAGGCAAACTGCTCTGCCTGACCACTTGCAAAATGAAGATGACATAGCTTCTTCCTCCCACACACTGACCATCTCTCAGCTACCCTGTGTAAGCAATAATGTTGGCTGTGCTGGGTTTGTGCAGCAGGATTTTTGGCAGTAGGGGAGGCGAGTAGACTGGTGGTCCCCTGCAAGAAGCTTCTAGAAGCTCCTCCGGCTCCAAGGCCGAGCCAATTAGTGATGGTGGCTACACCTCTGTGATAACATACTTAAGAAGGGAAACCTAAGAGGAGTTACGAGGAGGACACCTATGTGAACACTGAGGTCAGTGGAAGGGAGGAGGAAGGGGGAGAGGTGTGTCAGAGAAGACCCTCCCTGTATGCCATGGTGAGACGGCAGCATCACGCCCCCTCCAACACCCATGGAGGTCAGCAGCAGAGCAGAGGCTCGCCTACCGCCTGGGGAAGAACCCTGGGAAGAAGCAGCCTCCACGGTTGTAGTTTGGTGCTGGGAGGACCGCAACACGTGGGGGTGACCCACGTTAGAGCATCTCAAGAAGAATGCATCCTGTGGGGAGGACTCACTGCAGAGAGTTTGTGGAGGACTGTCTCCTGTGAGAGGGACGCCACGTGGAGCAGGGGAAGAGTGCAGAGAGTGCTTTCCCCCCTACTTTGCAGGAAGATGCGGCAGTCTGACTGCACCCCCACCCCCTGCCCCTGCACCACTGGGGCAGGAGGCAGAGAAAATCGGGAGCAAAGCTGAGCCCAGGTAGAAAGGAGGAGTGGGGGAAGGTGTTTTTAAGATGTATTAACACTTCTCACTGTCCCACTCTGTTAAGCACTGTTATTGCTAGTGTCTGAATTAAAGTGATGTCCTTTTTTTCTTCCCCTAACGAGCCTGTCTTTTGCCCATAACTGTAATGGGTGAATGACCCCTTTCTGTTCTTACCTCCATTCCTGAGCCTTTTGATTAATTTTCTCCTTCCCAGCGCTGGGGGGAAGGGGGGAGTGAACAGCTGCATGGTGCTCAGTTGCCCTCTGGGCTCAAAGTATGACACTGGTTAAGATCTTTTACTCATATGTAAAAATGCCCAGCCCGGAGTTTAACAGAAAGGAAGAAAAACACAAACACCAAAAAAACCCACCGACCATATGTATATTTCATTATTTTTTAAAAAAAGCCTACATACTTTTGCTCCTCCCGACTGAAGAAGGCGTCTGAATCCCGCTTCCTTGGTTTGATCAACATTCAGGATCACTTTCCAGCCACTGAAAGCACCCTAGATAAGACTCAGTTTAGTCAAAAATAGGTTGGTACTGAAAAAGTACAAAAAACTTAATGGGTCTATAATGTGCCCCTTTATGGAATATCCATTAGATAAAAGATTTGCTATCACCTAGTTTTGTCTTTAAGTATAAACTTTAAGTTTAAATGGCAGACAAAAGCCCACAGAACATACAATTTATTGGGCCAACACCTTATAGCCAGGCAGCTTGCCACCTGCATAGCAAGATGGGCTAACAGATCTATGAAAAAACCCTCGGCAATGAGTATTTTTTCCAGAAGACTAGACACTCATTTACAGAAGAGCATCTTAAGAAAAACAGTTACTTGGGAACTTTTCCCCCACATCCCATGCACTACATTATCTACTCAGTTACTGTAACAGCACCCAGGGCCAAGTGGTTGCTGCCTACAAGCACTCACTGTGGTTTCCAAGTAGGCAACAGGTAGAGTGGATTTGTTAGAAGCATTCATTTCAAAAAGGTTATTGTAAAATACATGCAAGTCAAGATTTATCCCAATGCAACTGGAACATCAGCACTATTTCTACCTTTCAATGAATACTCGATTGCAATGCTTGATTTGAGAGAGGAGTTAAAAGACTTTGGGGAGCCCAAGTCCCACTTTCAAAAATCCGACTGAACGACTATGGAACTTGCACCATAAAAATCACAGAAGATACTTTAGTAAAGGTGTAAACTTGTGCCCTGTTTGAAGCACAATAGTGTGCTCACTGCTAGAGCTATAAAAATGCTGTCCAGAGAGATTCACTGTATGGCACAGCACAGGATTTCTGTTACTGTGAGTACTGGTTGTGGTTTCCTAGTAAAGCTGCATTAGGTTAGCTCCCCAGTCAGACCCCTGAAGCGTAAACATCATCTTCCTGGCTGAGGGATGTTTACACACACTAGTAGCCACATTCCAGCTTTGCAAAAGTAGTACAACAGTTCAGGAGGAGATTAAGACTTAATATACCAGCACTAAACTGTTTTTTTTTTTTAAACCAAAATTAGTTAACTAGAATACATCCAGCTAAGCCATTTTGTTCTTAATAACCAAGCAGATTACCTTTCCCTGCCAGTTAAGTTTCTGAGTTCTTGGTGACAATCCCTGTCATGTCCACCCACACTGTACAACCTACATTGCCTGAGTATCTAAATACCTTAGTGATACCATACCTCAACGATACCAGTTTCTTGCCTCCCTTTATGAATTTTTTTCCTCCACCTCATGGCTGCAAGCGCTAGTTTCTTCTGGTTTACATTGATTCCAGGCAAAACATTAAGTATAGAATCACTTCCCCACTCATAATCTTCTTCCTACAACAATCATAAACCTGAATTACAAAGCAGTCCTGCCAACTTTACCAGCAGAAAACCAAATTTAAAAAAAACCCACACCAAAAAAACCACAAACAGACAAAACCAGAGTAAATCCCAACTCACTCTAGCTTTATGTACTGATTTAATCTGGCTGAAACAACTCTAGGTAAAATTTAGAGATATGGCTCTTAATTGCACATATGTATCTAAATCAACTCATGTTTTCTGTGACATCATCACATAAACAACTAGATTCTTCTTGCAGTTATCTACAATGGAATTCAAGAGCAAGCCAAAGCAACTCACTACTCTGGACACCTTTGACTCTATGTTTCCATTGTGTCTTCCAAAACAATGAAAGTTGGTTTTGATACATAAAGATATGAACCAGTCTACAGGCATTATTTTGAAGTTAGACTGGTCAATGTAAAAGAACTGCAGACGGAGTAGAACTGTGAAATACTAGTTAAGGAGGTGAGGAGTTGAAAGACATAGTGTCCAAAAATGTTTATGTACATGCTTATAGAGTTGGATTATTTAAAACTATGTGTTCATTTATGAAAGGATCAAGATTTCATTCCTGGTGTAACAAGATCCATGTAAATTCAGCTGATACCAGTGAGAATTTATCAAAAGGTACTCAAGCTTCAATTTTCAGAAGCAACTATAAAAAGTATAGGAATTTCATTTATCCTATACTAGGAGTTTGGTCCAGGACTAGTTTTCAGAGACTGCCAAAAATTTCTCAGACTTTGGATCCATTAAAAATCCCAAAGCTCAGGCATCCTAAACTGCTGACTGGTTCTGAGAGGTTAAGTCCTTTCCTAGTAGTGCAAAGTAAAAAGAAATGTGAAAGGGCGCCATACTCATTTCTCAGTAATAAGGTCACATGCCTGAACAAAGCAGCCAGCTCCTCTACATGCCTCCAGGTAGGAACGATGAAGCACCCACTTTCCAGCTGCCATCGAAGCCAAGAATTTTTCATTTCGAAGAGGATGTCCCACAACAATGTGTGTGCAACTTGGATCAAAACACTGTTTTTCAAGTACTATTCCACCTTGAATTGAGAAATGAATTTGATTCAAATTATTTAAGGGTCATGCTGTACCACAGAAACAATCAACTCCAAGTGAGAATTATTTGAATTGAGATAAAAATATACTTAACTCAAATTTACATTGAAAGTATTATCATTGAAGTGACATGGGTAGAAGCTGGCAAGGAAGGAGAAGCAGCCAGGGAAGAGTGGCTCTGATAAAAATAAAGTGCCACTGTAAAAGACAGGAATGAGAGAGACACCAGAGGACAGCAGATCCTGGGCACTCCCAACAGTAAAGAATGAGACTGTTGTGGAGACAGCTAGAAGAAAACTGTCAGAAGACAAAACCATTGCTGTTTTATGGCAAAGCTGATCAATAACATAATTATATTCAAAGATTTGCTCACAAGCACAGAAAGCCATAAATTTGAGACCTCAGATCTGATTAATCACTAACAGAAGCCTTTTCTTTTCCCCAACCAGCCACAGCTGACTAGACACATACAGACACATACTATTCTTTGCATTTCACAAATATCTGGTACCTAATTCCTCAATCAGATGGCAGTAATCAAATCTTTCTTGAGGATTAAGAGAAGACAGCTGAAATTTACGGTGTTTTTCTGGTTCTTCATCAGTCTTATCTTCTGTAACAGCCTGGAAATACAGTAACAGATTTTGAAATTAATGACAGAAAGATTAGGTTGACAGCTGACTATTTCTCTGCCAAACATTCTGGGTTATTTTTATATGAAGTTTTCCTTTAGTCAGGAAAAGCAGAACCAAACCTGTCAATCACTTGACAAAAAGCTTGGATCTTATCAAATCAACGTTAGGCTTGTGCTTAACATCCTCTTAGTTCCCTCTTTCTTCAGGGCACAACTGAACCAATCTGTCAGAAAAACTAGTCCTTCATTCATAACCACTGAATGCCAAGTTGAACACATGAATCTATCTATCTATCCATCACATCCATCCCTCACACTGCTTCATTCATTCAGACTTTCCATAACTTTGAGGCCCCTTATGCATTTCACCACAGCTTATTTACTAACATGACACATTATGCCTCTGAAGACACATAGCTGCTGAAACTTTGAGCATCAAGCAATACACTGGCGGGCAAAAGACTAAGATCATTTTCCTAGCCCCTTCCAAGTTCACTATGAAATAGTGTAGAATTTTAAATCAGGTTTTTGGCAGAAAAATAATTTTCTGTTTGTACCTAAACATAAATTCCAGATACCACCAAGGAAACAAAGGCCTAACTTTTTTCCATCATCCTAACATGGCTGGAGGAGTCCAAAGAAATACACATAGTAACTCCCCACTCCAAAGCCTACCTCAGTGTTCCAGCAGGGACTAACAGGACAAAAAGCTTTATTTGTCTGAACAAACAAGCTTTATTTATTTGAGTAAACATTATTTGTTCAAAACCTTGAAGAAAGAGGGAAAGAGAAATAGAACCACACAAAAATAATCCACTTCAAGATTTTAATTGCAGATATGTACCTGATTTATATTTACCATCAAGTTCAAAACTTCTTAAAGTGTCATTACATTTCTCAGAACACAAAACTTCACAAGTATTTTGTCATATGACAAACCTTTTCTCTGGGCTGTGGTGCCACAGGAGGGTTAGCCAGTGGAAAAGCAATGCTGGGGGCCTGTGGAGTGGGGATCAAGTGATCTTTAATTGGTGTTTCAGGTTCTCTGCATACAGGATTTTTTAGACCTTCAATCACATCTCCATCCCCAGCCTCATGAACAGCTGTGAAAGTAAAGTGTTGTTGCATGACTCATCTTTGGCTGAATATAATTATGGATAAAGTAAAAAATAAAATTAAAAGTTCTAAAAAAGGTAGCTAACCTAGGACAAAACACAACTGCTACTAAAACATGTACAGTTACATTTCACCACTGCCTTTCATAAAGATACTCTCCCTTATACCACAAACCACCAATTGCAATGTTGCAGACTCATGTCCCTGGATGCCTTGTTTTGAAAAAAAAACCAGCCTCAAATGGCCTAATTTTGTTGACTAAACCACACCGACTCGCTTGAACCAAAAATCAATTGAATGCATTTAGCTAATTTGCTTCAACCTCCTCTAGGACAGGGTCAGTTTTCAACAAGACTGTTGCCACAAGCAGAAACTCTAAGTAGACTGAGGGAAGGAGTTAGGGGCAGGAGGAAGGCAGTGGGGAGAGAGAAATAAAGGATTCTACTGTGTCTCAGGAGGCAGGAATGGGAAAAGAGCAAAACCAGATGAAAAACCTAAGTATGTTGTTTCCTTAGTCCAAGCAGTAGAATAGAGACTTCAAAAAGAACAGGGAAGATAAATACAGCATCTTCACTTAATCCTGACCTAAGCATATCCATTGGCAGCTCTGACACATCTGTTTTTCAAGCTCATGGATTGTCTTCTTCCTTTATCTCCATTTTTCACTTATGAATATTCCCACTGGAATTAAAAAGATTTTGCTACTGGTATTTTCATTTGAATTCCACTATGCCTATCCAAATTGTTACCTGGAAACCAGCTGTGGTTTCAAAAAAAAAATAAATCTGGAAGATTTCCTAAATTTGATGCAAACTATTTTAGACAAGCACTGCCTTGGTGCTTGACCACAAACATCAAATGGATAGGAAAGCTTCTCTTTAAAAAAAGAACACCACATAATGGAGCTCAAAGATGTAACATTGTATTTTTATCATTCAAGAAATGTCAACAATGCTGATCTTTTTTTTTAAAAAAAAAAAAGTAGAATTCAAACGTTATTTTAAAAGTCCCAAAGATGAAGTGGATGCTGTAGCAAAGAACAAAGATACTGTATTTCTGCTTTTTACCTTTACGAGCAATCTCTGCATCAGCTAAAGATTCTCTGAGGGCAGACTCATCAATGTTCTTATTGGTGTTACTCTGACCTTGCTCAGTATACTGGGAAGGACTATTGGGCCACTGAAAGTTGCTGACAAGTCTTGCTCTCTCCTCCCTTGCAGTAGGATCATCCCAGATGATCTGCTCACTCTGTGATGGCTCAGTGTTCATATCTGTGAGTGCCTGACGGGATTGCCTAGGAAAAAAGCACACATATCTTAAATATTCATTTGTTTCAAAGTAGACTACCATATATGAAGGCAATGTGTTAATAATCACATCAATTGTAGCATCCGAGTGACCTCATTATTAGAAAACATGGCTGGGAAGGGGGAAAACTGCAGTACAAAAGCAAGTCCAGCAGCCTGGCTTTGTGAGCTTCAGTGAAAAAAGGCAACCAAAATATCAGTAGGAGATAGTTTTATTATGTGTCATACTGAGAAATTATCCCAAAATCAGTGTACTTTACTCTTTACTGAACTTACTTATTTGCAAATAAACACTAAGCTAATAGGAATAATTTTGCAAGGTTTCCATTAAGAGTTCAAATCCTATACTCTGTTTAGAAAGAAAAGATAAAGAAAACAGGAGAAACATTCACAGAGGCACTTTTCGGGAATACCTACTACCAGTTTATGACCTATGTACTGAAATACTGCAGCACTGCTTGCTTCAAAATCCGTAATAACACTAACTAATCTGAGAGGACATCAATTGGCATAATTCAATTCAAAACTACAAAGCAATCATACTATTCTGTGGTATTTTGAAAGACAAAGATACCCATTACGGATTAAGATAACCTTCTGCCTTTATGTAGCACGTGCAGTTAAAGATTCTGAATTGCAAGAGAAGCAACTTAAGTACATTAGCAGAGAAAGGCAACACACCTGATAACCCTGGCAATCTACTCAAGTTTCAGTGAATGTCTAAGTATGTGCAAGGGAAGACAAAATAAGATACTCCGAAACACGAATGAATACCTTAGAGCCTCCAAGACCCTACTGCGGCCATTTCGCACAGACCATGTGCTATCAGGAGTGGCTGGAGAACCATCAAAACTGTTCCTTGAAAGGGATCCTCGTTGTCCTTGTGGCTTCACTAGTGATGTGGCAGACATGATCTCCTGCAGCTGTCTTTGGAAGTTCTCCCTCATTTCTAGTGCTTGGGTTAAAACTTAAGAGAAGAAAAAAAGCTAGTAAGATCAAGACTGCTATATTGTAACGAGTGGAAAGTAACTGAAATTCCAGTCAACTTCCCCTCACCCCCCTCCATCAGGATAAAGACAATACTTTAAGGAAAGGAAAAGATATCTGGGAAAAAGTAGGAAAAACTATGTATACCCCAAATCACCTATTCCTAGACACAAGGAGAAATCTCCATTTGTCCCATTTCTGAATTTGCCCACATGATCTAATTTATATCCACAATTCTCCCATAGCACATTTATTTACAAAATATAAAAGGTATACTCTAAAACTGATTTGTCACGTTAAAGACAAACTGCAGTGTTTTAAAACAAAGAAACAGCAATTAAGTAATTTGCAATGGATGATCACAATTTTCTAATGGGCTGTCAGTCTTTAAAACGGAGAGCAAAACCCTTTCCTCTCATGCAGCAGCAATAAGGGCTAGCTGTACTTGACCAGTCTATAAATATGGTACCTAAAGCTTCCAGATCTTAACATTCAGCACCTGAAATTGTAAAAGGCTTATATTGATGGTTTGATGTTCCACAACTATTTTGAAACCAGTGATATACATTTACCTCCTTTGGATTCACTTGTTACTATCTGTTCTTCCTCTGTAGCAACCATTTCCTTTATTTGGTCAGTAGTTATATCATCTTCAGCATCATCTTCATCCACTGGAATAATCTGAAACCAATAAAGACAAGTAGAATTCTGAAACACCAATTTTTTTTCTTTTTACCCATGTTCAACGCCTGCATAAATTCTAAAGATTAATAATCTTGTCTTAGAGTAAACCTAACCTTTCTGCTACTACAGTGACAGTAAAACAGTACACAGCAGCATCGGTGACAACACCTATTCTGCAGTCTAAATGTCTACTAAGGCAAGTTCACACCTTGGATCTTGTTACCTACAAGAGAAGGCAAAGACTGAACCTACATAATTTCTAATCCTGAAATGCCTGCCTTTCCCTCCATCACCCTAGAAGAGAAATAATACAAATGCAGAAAAACCTTAAGGAACACCTGCAATAGCTACTATTAATTGCTAGCTAAACATCATTCAGGGCATTGCTGAATAAGCATCAACATTTTTTATTAATATGTTAATATAAAAATTAACTGAATCCAAATCACTTCATAGAATTTGAATTCATATCACACATTATACCTCATCTTCCTTTGCTGGTTTTCCAGTTGACAGAAGTTTACTGGAGGAGGAGAGTCCGACATCTTGCACTGCACTGATGTCCAGGCTCATTTTGGGATTGTAAGTGTGAGGAAAGAGAGATTCAGGAAGCCGTTTATATTCTTGGGCACTCTGTAACAACATCAGTTAACATAAGAAAGATCAGAAACCAATTGAGATAAAAGAAATTTCACATCTGAACATAGGAAAAGTACAACAAAGACACCACTGAAAGCAGTACTTTACGCAAGAGGAAAATGTGGCTCTCGTTTTGGGAAATGCAGCAGAAATGTTCAATGGAAGAGAATTTTGTGTCTCCTCAAGGAGAAAAAGGCAAAAGTACATCAGTGAAAACTGATTGCTCAATTCATAAATTCAAAGCAGGATGCAAAACATCAGTTCCTATATATGTTCAGTATAAATGTAAACAGAAAATCCACTGCCATACATATAACTGGTTTTAAGCCTACATTTCCCTTTACTTTTAATAACAGAACAAAACAAGCTCCATACCTCTAAAAGCCAGTGTTCTGAAACAATATGTATACCGCGTTCTTTAACGGATTTGTACTCCTTGTTGTTGTCATTCTGTCCTCCCTTGTAGATGAAGTGTGTCACCGTTTCATCAAAGCACCATCTAGAAAACAAAATACAACTTGAAGACATAATTTCTATCAGAAAGCATCAGAAATCCAGCTCAGAAATTGTCCTATCCCTTGTTTGTTAAAATATTATTTTGTCTATTTTGTTATGCTTAAATAAGCAACGAGCCCACTGTTTTAATCAAAAAAGACCAGATTCAGTTTCAGGATAGAACAACTTCAATGTATTCTGAAAGCATTCCTGAAGTAAACAAAACTAAATCTAATCAACAGATAGAAGAGTAGGGGGTTTGCTTTAGGTTTTTTTGGTTTGTTTTTATTTAAGTAAGTGGAGTTTCAAATCAGTTTCTGAAAAGAAGGTGTGACCCAGGATGAGAGGGCTTTTTCTTCTGTTGACATATTGAGCTGCAAGCGAAATACTGGTCCTCAAAACTCAATATAAACAAAATGCAAGATTCTAACATTTAAAGCACGAAAAACTAGTATTTGCTATCTAATGCAAACACCTTCAACATTTCTAAGCTACTATCAAACATAAAGGCAACTTCCTCACCCACACCATGAATGATAACACTTCTTATAAAGTCAGTAACAAAATATGTAAACTAGATTCAGTGGGAGCAGAATTCTGTCTTAAATGACAAATGTTAGTTTGTAGTTTCTCTTAATTACAAGCTATTTCTCCTAAGCTATTCTGAGCACACTAACTTAGACATTCTTATAATTTGTGAAATAGTTTTGAGACAGGGAGAAACACACACAAATTCAGATCAGATTCAAAACTATAAAGTAAATTTTAAACTACCCAAAAGCTAAGTGTTTCATAATTTTCTTCAAAAAGCAAGAGAAGGAAAGAAAAAAATTTTGCAATTCAGGAAGACTTCAGGACAAACAGTCTTTCCAAGACAATTTTAACAAGAACACAGAGAACAGGGATGCAGTGGGGAAAGATGGCCTTAGAAGCAGATGGCCTTATTTTGCAATAGAAACTGTTTAAGATGGTGAACTCTCATTTTTAGCAAAAGGTCATGTAGATAAAGCATATTAGAATGTGAAGAGTCATATTTACTAGAAGTCACATCAGTGTGGAAGTTTAGATTTTTTGAATGAGGTTGATACCTGTAGTCTGCCCCAAGAGAAGCTGCTATTCCATTCAGTTCATTTTGCTTCTTACTAAGTTTTTTACTGACATAAATAACAACATTAGCTAGAGGCTTGGGCTCTTCTTCCTGTGCAAACAGCAGCAATAAGAACAGAAGAGTCATGTCTGGAAGGTTTCTCTATCAATAACAAAACCACTTTAATATTTAGTGTAGCATGTAGTAAGATATGCAATAACAACAAAACTTAAGATAAACACATTTTCACTCCTTTTGCTGCTCCTAAACTCCATGGTCAAAACCCAGCACTATCATCATTCCATGCACCAGGAATCCAAAAGACAAAAGATTCATTCTCAGACAGTCTCCCTGGAACGTATTCTGCTCCTTCCATCACAAACAAAGCACCTCCTGAACACTGAATTTAGGGAATTATCAAAACTGATGCCACATAAGTATTTCACTGTACTGGAATGAAAAAAAGTAAGAATAAAGAGCTACAAAAGTGTCAGCCTTCCCTTACTGAAGGCCATTAGATTTTTTTGCCCCTCCTCTGCAGCAAACCATGTACTAACACAACAAGCAATACATAGTGCTCTATTTCCTTCTACATCTGTTTCTGTTTTCTCTCACTAGTAGATTAGACTAAAGAGGCAAGATGACTACAAGAAAGGATAACGTGTCTTTATAAGGGGGTAAGCAACTGATCACATCTTGTACCTCCTAGTAAGCAGAAGAGCAGCACCTTACAGAGAAAAATAGGAGAAGACATGGGCATTAAAAAAAGAACTCCTAACTTTAGTCCAAGACAAAACATTTAATTCTGCTCACCTGCAGCCTGGGAATTTCTTAAGTGTGATGAAATCCTCTCAGTACTAAAAGTCTAAAGTGGTATATATTTATATGCTGTGTTACTTAGCAACTTCTTAATTAAGTCTATGCTCCAGAAACCCAAACCCAAAATCTCCTACCGTTTCTGGCTGTGCAGTGGTCAGCTGTGGGCTGGCAGTAAGAGCTGCTGTATGCCTTGTGCTGTTTGCCAGCGCCAATTTCAAGTTTCTGCCAATGACTTCAGAGAGAGGTGTGCTCAGCTTCCTGTTTTTTTGATCAGGACTTCCTGGAGTTTCCAAAGCTGCCAGAGCATCCTACCAAAATAGAAGCAACTGACTGACTTTCACAAACACATTACAGAATTCTCACTCAAGTGCAAGTTTCACAAATACAATCTGAAGTAAGATTTCATACTCCTAAATCACAACAGCGTACTACAGTAACAGCTAGCAAGTGCAACTGTAGTACCACTGCACAAAAGCATTACTAGACAATCCCAATCTTAAGAGTCTGCATAAGAAAAACAGGAAGACGACAGATGATTAATCTTTCTTTTCACTGCCATCAATGAGAACTACACTCAGTGGAAAAGCCAGTAGACAAACCCAGGCATTCCTAACGACAGCCAATTACTATAATTTACCAATACCACCCCCACAAGAGTTGCGTATGTGTATGTTAGTTCTATCTGTACCTTTAAAACACCAAGCTTAACTGCCCTTTTTTAAAAAAAGAGACATTTTGGTGTAGAGTATCTTGCTTTTGAAAATTATCAGTGGTGAACTATTAGATTTCAAAACGCAGAGTACCAATCGAATCACAGATTCACAGAATGGTGTGGGTTGGAAAGGACCTTAAAGATCACCTAGTTCCACCCCCCCTGCCATGGGCAGGGACACCTTCCACTAGACCAGGTTGCTCAAAGCCTGGTCCAACCTGGCCTTGAACACTGCCAAGGAGGGGGCAGCCACAGTTTCTCCGGAAAACCTGTTCCAGGGTCTCACCACACTCACATTAAAGTATTTCTTCCTTACGTCTAGTCTAAATCTACTCTCTTTCAGTTTAAAACTGTTACCCCTCATCCTACCCCTACACTCCCTGATTAAGAGTTGTTCCCCAGCTTTCCTGTAGGCCCTCTAAGTACTGGAAGGCTGCTGTAAGGTCTCCCCACAGCCTTCTCTTCATGAAGCAGGACTAACTAAACTAAACTAAAAAAAATTATTCTGCTTTTGTAATACATGTTTTGTTCTATTACAGGCAGAGGGGTTTAAAAAAACCCCAAAACCAACAAAACAGCTAACCCACAAACAACTCCCCCACCCAACAACTTCGCAGGAATTCAATGAATTCATCTTTCATTTAAGGCCTCAAAAATGAAAAACAAACCTGAACCCTTTCAAAGCACACGAGTCATTCCAGCACAGATACTCCCTGAAGTCAGGGGTTTCTTCCTTCTGTTTTAAGACTAGTAGTTTTTCTAGACTGTTGTGGCCTTCAGAATGAGGCAATTAACCCAATCCCCCCAAGGCATTTTTCAATCTGCAATAACAGCTTTGTAACTGCTATAAAGCTATTACATTAAAACATGCCATTAAAGTAGCATCTTATCACAAAACAAGCAAACAGTTGTTTCCAAATAACTGGAGCAATTCTTGTGACATTACGTAAAGAACACAGATTGTGTACTGTGCGAGGTGTAGAACACATGAGAATATGAGCATTAAGTACAGAATAGCTTTAAGGACATTATAGCATCTATTAGTCAATAAATGTAGTCCACAGGTCATTAACTCAGAATATATATAAATGGAGCCAGTCTTCCTGGCTTCATTCAAAATGGAAAGTCTGTAGGTTAACAGTATCAAAAGGGGTAAGCAGGGGTTTCTGTGTGGTTTTTATGTTTATATGCATCTTTAAACCTAGTGGTTCTACAGGCTAAAAAAATTGCAAAGATAATCACCTTTACATCAAAAGAAGGCTTGAATAATTTGTCTTTGGAAAGAAATTTTGATGGTGTATCAAGATGTAAAGATGGCTCTTTCTGTGGCAGTCCCCCTTGTGCAAGAGGGGTTGTCTTCCCAATATGATGAGAGATTACAGCTTGGAAAGCTTTACTCTGAAACCTGTTGATATCAAGAGGGGTCACAGCTGTTTTTTTCCCGGCTTCAAGGAGATAAGTAGGTTGCTCTGAATCAGGAGATTTAACAGTCACTGGTGTCTTGCTAAACTGAGTAATGGAACTCTCCTTATCTTTAAAAGAAACAAAGAAAACATAATCAAGCATTTTCCATTTTTTTTTTTTTTAAAGACAGATCTCACATACATTTTTAAACAACTGACAGTTCATCTAACCTTTCCCTAGAAAAAAAATAATTCATATCCCTGCCCCGCCCCCCATAAACTGATGATTGTATTTTAAAAGCCAGTATCTTAGGTGTCTCTTCCAGTTAAGATACTTATTTTAAATTACTTTGGTGCTAAACTTGACCCTAAGTGTCTGAAAGAGCAAGCAACCCCTGGTTCACTCTCACTGTTTGCAGTTCCACACACGTACCTGTATAGCTCACATATATTATATAACAACTACCAAAATACAAATCCAAGAGATGTAATACACAACAAATCCTTCCCTTTCAACATTAAAGATAACTCCTCCTCCCTAGCTCCTTCCTTCCTATGCAATACAAAATTTCTTTCATATTCATGACTGAATCACACCCCTTTAGGTCACTATGTACGTTTCCAGTCCCTTATGCCTTTAGATTAATAGGACCAAGATTTAGCCAGGAATAAGCCCTTAAAGCCTATCCATGATAAATGCTTCTAGATAAGCATGACTCATTATCTTTATAGCTCAAAAACATTAGAACAACAATTGCTTTTACAATTTACTGCTCATTTCCACCCCTGCCTGCCATTTTTCCTTAAAAATAGACTATACAGGTAAGATGTGCCTATGCCAACAACATACCTTTTGTCCTCTGACTTATATAATTAATTCACAAGGGCACTGGTAAAACAGGTCTGCTAAGATTCAGTATTAAATCACTGTAGTCTGCATCTTAATATGGAAGAAATATTGCCAAATAAAAGATGTGTATTAACTGGAAAAGGAGCAGAAGTATCAGAAGATGAAGTAGGCATGAAGGACTGAAGAGAGGGGCATCATGTCATTGCAGATTAACAAGTATGAAGCTGGATCTAAGCTGGACCTATCATCAATTCCCATGCAATCTACAGAGCAGCATGTGTCAAAAAGGACAAAGCTGAGACACTGAGCTTGATTCCCAGTTGATAACAAGACTCCATGAGACTTGCAGCAAACACACAGTATCATTTCTATAATCACAACTCAAGAGCGGGGAAAAAAAAAGCAAAAAATACTTGGGAAAAATATCCTTTAGATCTAATACTTTGAAGGCGTTAGGAAAAAAACCTGCCCTCATATCTGCCTTCTTTATCATGAACGAACTGTACACTGACACAACCATATTCTCTAACTTGCTAATAACCAACCTTCAGCCTCTACATTTTCAACCAAGAACTTGCTTTCATCTGCTCTCTTCCCTGTCCTTGCAGACTGCAAAAGCCAAGCTACGGTGACGGCTGGCAAATTCCACTTCTTTGCAGCTTCATACTTTGAACCACTTGGTTCTCTCACCACAAGATGAGTACTGGCAAACATTCCCTTTTTTGCATTGGCTTTCCGCACAAAGAATTCTTGGACTCTAAAATTAGATTAGTAAAACATTCGATTAGTCATAAACAAAATTAATCTAGGCACTTTTATACTATTATAAAATGCATTCAAGCAACAGAAAAGGAACCAGTAGAATTATCTAAGGCCATTCACTCTGCACTTTACAGCCTAACCTACATTAAAAAAAAAAAAGTTAAACAGAAATGTTTTGCTTCTATCAGTATTGAAAACATAACATTTATCATGCTCCAGAAGTCCTTCCAAATCACACACTGGGCCTGACATTCTTCTGCAAGTTTAATGAGACAGACTGGACTCCTTTCTGGAGCCAACAAGCATCATTCCCAAATTTACAGTAGTTTTCTTTATACTACAGTTTTTCTCTTATCATCAAGGACTCTATCTTCCAAGAAGATGGCAGGACTGAGAACTCACCAGCAAAGAATTTAGTTCAGACTACAAATCAGATCAAATGATACTCTAAGGTATACAATTTTGCCACTTCATGACTAAACATGTTTTTCTTACAGTTTTTCAAAGATTCTGATGAATTGAGAGTAAATAATACAACATCCCAGATCCTAAGAAATGGTGCACTAGCACTGGTTATGAGGTTGAACCAGATAGTACCGAAGAAGAGGAACATTGGCCCATTCCTGGACAACTGAAGAGCAACTTGGAAGGCCTGACATCTGAAAAACTGACTTTTTTTTTCCTCTGTTCCAGAGCAAAGCAAAAAGTTACTGAGACTGTCATTATTCTGGTAGAAATTAGGCTATTCTAAAGGAGAAGACAATAAAAGAACTATGTAATAATGTCTCATTGCTTCAGCACTAGTTTTTGTAAATCAATAGAACCCAGAAGAGCTTTAACTCTAATATTTATTTGTTCCTGTAAAAGAAGAAATGAAATGCATAATGGGTTTCATCACACTAGCTGTTTAAGAACAAGAAGAAACAGTGACAGGAGACCTACCTGGCTCCTAGCAGTCCTGCCAGATAAACCAGAGAATCTCTCTCAGCACCAATGAACTGGCTAAAAGAAAGAACACAATCTTCCAGAGGGGTAACTCCTTCCATTACTGGGACTGGCGTGAAAAGTGGATTGGACTGGGGATCTAAAAGGAGCTGCTGTTCCACACATGTTATCTTAAAGAAGATGAAAGAGATAAAAATGCAAATCAAGCCCAACAGCAAAGCCAATAATATTCCAGCGACTGTACAACAGCATTTACAGACTCAACAAAAAGCACTCCTGCTTCCATCGTTACATCCGAGACAAATTATTTCTCATTGCATCAGGCAAATTCTTCTCTAGATCATTTCAATTTTGTCAGTTTTGACATATTGAAGCATTCAGAACTTTTCAGTTTCTACTCTTCCAACCCTGGATGATCCCTTGAAGTAGTTCAAGGTGTGATCTGAAGGTCTGTGTAGATTTATTTCACAGAAATCTGCCTAGTAATGAAAACACTAACAGCACTTAATCTACATCATGTGCCTGCTCTTGACAAATATGATTATTATTTTTTGACTTTCTGCCACAAGTTAAAAAGCTGTAAAAAGCATGAAACAATAAAGAGTAAGCATAAGCATATGCAGTAATTATTCATCAACTAGCTCCTTCTACAATTCATTATTTAAAGAGAATTCTGTCAGACTCTCATATAAGCCTTTGAGTCATGACAACGAAGTCCTATTTAACAAGCCTGTAGAAAATGAAGTGAAACAGATAAAAGATACCTTACATATGCAGAGGCTTTAAAGCGTAATTTCAGTGTATTTCAAATGAAATGAGGGCTAATCTCTCAGCACCTTACTTAACATTTTAGCCACCGATAACTACATTCTGACCAGACATATTTCTAATGTAGATACCTGTTCACTCACAGAACTGAAAGTGTAACACACTTACCAGCCACGTATTTGTGACAACATCACCAACAGTTGGCTTCACCGTGCACCCCAATAAAGGTACCACAGCATAGTCTGCAATCGTTCTGCTTTGCAGTGGCAGAATTTTTCCAGCATTCTCCTTTATAATATCTGCAATGCAGGACTCGTCCTCTTCACCAAAACCCAAAAGAAGAAATCTCTTTCTGACAAATAAGCCTCCTGCAGCCAGTGTAGAAGACTCTCCCAAAGAACCATTACAGACAAAAGACTGATTCTCTCCTTGAACAGTCAAGTGAGTAACATCACTGAAGGATGTTCTGGATGTTAGTTTTCCGACTTCATCTGAAAGGGGAAAAAACAAACCAAACAAACAAAAATAACCAACCATAGTAACTGATCGACAAGAACAAAGTCAACTCAAAATAGTTTCATGAAGAAATGACAGTGTTCTGCTATTTTCAGACAGGTTTTAGTTAAAACTGGTCTATATCGGACTGTTTAAATTTGATTTCTAAAACACAATATAGAAGGCAACATAGTGTGGCTACCTTTTCAATACGCAAAAGCCACAAAACTCAAATGCTAATTATGAGCAGTTAAGCTTTCTATGATACGCTGAGCCTGGAACGTACCTAATGTAGAATCACTATTTACATATTGAGAGAGGAAGTCATCTTCAGCAGCTTTCTGGTGCTTTATAACATTCACAGCTTCTTTCTTCAAGAGATTTTTATTTTTGGGAAGAAATGACTTCATTCCAGGCTGCTCCAAAATTGAGTTCTCTAACAGCTGGTAGTTTAGAGGGATATATTGCTCCACTGGATGTAGATAACCTTTACTGAATGACTCCAGCAACCATTTTGCTGTCACTACATGAGGCCTATAAAATAAAGTGTTATACAAACAAGTCACAGCAGGTTTCAGAACTGTGATTCTTCTTTCCTGCTCTGCAAATACTAGTACATAGTATATAGACATACAGTTATAGTTTGTAACTCCATTACTAATCAAGCTTTGGGCACTTTACAAACCTTAATTTTTTTTATTCTTTCAGTCTGAGAACAGAGAATTTCATACTTATTTTCTATAGTGTAAATTATATCTGACACTTCTGGGTTGCCAAATGCCCCCTCCTCAATATGTTAACAAATACATGTTAACACCTCTTTTCACCAGTAAGAATACTGTTTTCTGTTCACTGAGGTGACCCATGGCTACCCAAAGAACTACAGTATCCAAGAGCACACAAGGATGTACTTATGAATACCAGCTGTAAGTCTCTCTCATTTAAGTCAGGAACTATTTGAAATTTTAAAACCAATACATGTTTTCCTGTTTACAAGGTGGTGGGAGAATGAAATCAAGGCAGAAAGAGACCTTAAGCAATATAGTTATCATAACCTGTGAGCTGTCTTGTCCAAAAAGTGTTTCAGTTCATCATTATTTTCCCCCAAAATGACATGGGTAACATCTTCATTAAGTTGATTAAATCGAACACCACCACCGCAATTAATAAGCCTCCTCATCTTGTCCAACTTCCTGCCACTGAAGCCACACAGATAGATCTACAAAGAGAGCAGAGCAACAAAAAAGGCTTTTAAGAAAAGAAAAAAAGTAGAAAAGAAAGAAATTATGTAGGATAATTTGGTGTGATTTGTTTTGACTGCTGTAGAACACAAACTAGTGGCACAACTTCTGAGAAGCAGCAAAAAAGTTAAGCATTTAGAATTGGATCAATTTATCCTTGCAAACTAATCTAGCAAAACTTCAATATTTACTAATGGAATGAACCCTCAGCCAAAGTCATACAACAACAAAAAACAAACCCAAACCCCACAACAATTCTAGAATCCATTCACTACAGTGTTTAAATAAGTCTATAAATACATCATATTATATTTATACTACATATTTAATAAAATTATACTTACACATATATGTAGACACATTCAAGCTACAGCATGTGGACACAAAATAAATCTAGCATTTACTACTAACCATGGAAACCACAGTTTACTCAAGCAGCATTTGCCAGTTACACAACCTAGTTGATTCCACAGGATTAAGACTGAACATTTCAAAGTACACATGGTTAAACATACTCGACATCCATCTAACAAATCTTCAGGGGCTTGAAAAGAACTTATATCCAAGTTTTCCAGCTCATCAGGAAGAGGATCCAGTCTGCTGCTCATTGCAGAACTATACGCTGTTTCATTAACACCACTCAAATTGATACTGGAAATGTGGCTGACGTCTGAGAGCATATGATCTTTAGATAAAATTTAAAAAGATGCATTAGTTTTGGCAGATCTTTCTCCACTGCTTCACTAAAAATACAAAACTCCCACATATGATTTTGTTGTACTAGAAGGAAATATAAAATCTGAAGAACAAAAACTACTAGGCAAGTATAACCTTGGTTAAACCCAAGGGTTTTATTTACACATAGATTCATTATGTCCTTACTAGCAAGAGTGTTTATGCACCTTCTGTTTATTCTCAAATGGATGTAATCTATGAGGCAGCAGCTAATGGGACTGGTTTTCAAAGCTTTTATTCCAGTTTTGTGGCCACCTATTAGAAATACTCTTAGGCATTTCTGTAGTAAAGAGAATGTGAACATGTAGCTCATAGTAAACATGAAGTTCATTGATTTAAGAGAGTTATATGCAGTTTGTGTAATACCCAACTTGAACTCCCAGTGCTCTGCTGGTAGTGCCAACCCAGTGCTCCTGCTCAGTCATTTCCTGAAGTAGCAGTCAGTAACAGATGTTTGGAAGGACACATCTAAAGCTGTCTGTGTCTTTCAGGCTACAACGTTTGTTTACAAAATGCTTTTAACTTTCCTTCTGTTAATAGCATGGAGTAATTAAAAACAAGTATATGAAAAAAGTAGAAAAAATACCAGCAAAAAATAATTGGCATTTGTTTTCCCCCCCTAAGACTGCTGTAAGATTAAATGTACGAACAGTGACGCTTTTTTAGGACTTAAGAGATATACACCACCGATTCTCAAGCAGATAATCATACGCCTAATTCCAGTTTACTTTTTAAACAATTATTCATTTGTTCTAAGTCTACACATGTTGGAATATTCAACGTTTATAAAAGTAATCTGCTGTGTTTTAAGTAGAAGCAGAATCTAAACTGTCAAACCAGCATCGCAAAAGCAAGCGGCACTCTACTAATCTGAAATAGTTCTTTCTCCTTACTACAAGTGTTTCCTACCTTACTTTAACATATTTTAAAAGGTCTTACTTACTGTTGGGCTTGCTGGCATGATTCGTAGGTGTTGACGTACTGGGTGTATTACTCAGCTTTGATCCAGCCTCTATTTTATATATTGATTCATCCTGACAGAAGCCTTTCTCAATGCTGTCAGAAAACCACTGCACAGACACACAGTGCACATTCCATTTTTTGGCACATTCATACTTCTGACCTTTCAAATGTAAACAAAATTAAAACCACAAGTCACTAAAAGGTTTCAAACAGTCATCGCTGAAAGATGATTGGACATTAAGACGACTTAAGAATTCAAATAACTGATTTCAGTGTGCAAGTTGTGTTATCCTGGATTCTTCTGATAGGCTGCTTATTTATTCTCTAAAGTTAGAGCAAAAAATTCTCATTGATGGCTAGCTCATGGGTGCAGTATGACAGAGCAATAAAGCAAAAAAACCTAAAAAGGCTTTAAAGCTTTCAAGTACAAGGAAGAAAAGTTTAAAAATTCCCAGCGTATTTCCCCACAGGGAAAGGGATGGAAACTGAGGAAAAAAGAAAATGCTTCCCATTCTTCTCACAGTAAAACTACAATCCTTTCATCTTCCCACGACAAAAAAAAAAAAAGGCAGTTTTTATTCTATCTTAGTAGGGAGTTCAGAAGGCACAAAGAATAGATCACAAAGTGTTAGTCCACAATCCAATTTCAATTAGGATATAAATTAAGTCCTATCCAGGTCTCCCAAAAAACTTTCTTCATTCTTCTATCCTGTCTAGGGTTCTCCCTTTTTCTTCCCCTAAATACCATCTGGGTCTCTGTTTCTTTCCTCTTTTGTGCTCTTCCTCATGCCTTTAGAGCAAAGCAAGGGTGCCCTGCGTTACTCTTCCCACAACAGTGATTCCCTGAACAGAAGTAGCAAGAGCAACACTGAAGCAGACACAGCCATTTCAAAGTCTCACGTACATTTACACTGCTTCAAATCAAGAAGTGAAAATAACATTTACTCTAAGTTTTACCTTTTGGCTCTTTAACTATGAGGTGAGTACATTCATTCATCTTGAGCTGTCCCATATATTGCCCACCATGTTCAGCAGTAAGGCGCTGGACTTCTTTCCTGTCTGAACTACTTAAGCCAGTTACACAAATAGTACAGCCAAGGAACACAGGACAAGCGTAGTCTTCCATCTTAACATCAGTGTATCTCATTATGCTAAAGGAATGAAAAAAAAGGAAAAAGAAATATTTTTTTTTTTCTTCCAAGTAAAATCAAACAGAAAGTAGTCTGTATCACCGTAAGAATTACCATTCCCCAAAAGAAAAACAGGTTGGTTTTTTTTTTTCATACCTTTGCTGAGATTTATCCCACAGTGCCTTAATCCAAGAGGGAAGCAAAACAGGTTTTTTCAGAGAAGCAGCTACTAAGTATTTCTTGCTGCCAACTTCTCCAGCTATAAGATGAGTTACTGACATGTTGAGGTCTCTGCACACACGTCCACCCATCATCTGCACATATTTGTGAACTTCTTCCTGGTTGGGGAAAAAAGCTTATAGAAAATTATCATGAAAAAAGAAAGAACCAACACCACACTCACATTCATCTTAAAAAAACAAAATCACAGGTTTCAATTGTCCATGGCTTCTCCTGAAAAAACTGTTCAAAAAACACAAAATGTATGTATATGGAAGCCATAAAAACCTTCAAATATAATTTCCATTTTATTTGTATTTATGATAAGCCAAACATAATACGTACCCTTAATAAAAATACTACAATCATACTGTACGAGTAAAATTCTGAGGATGGTTGACTTTTAGGTAATATAAATTAGGGAGGTCTTGGAATAAATAAAAAAGTAAACTATTTAAACCATAGCTAATTGGGTATTGTATCTTTACAATAGTAAAGATAGTTTTGAGTAGTTTTGAGTAACCAGAAACAGAGTATGTTGCCTGTAGCATTATAGCCTCAGACAAACTAGCAAGATAAATGATCCATCTAATCAGGTAATAAAAATCCCTAAAACATACATTTACTCCCATATTAATACAGCTGAAAACATTTATGATTATAAATGTATATACTTATATAATATATACATTTGGATACATAACTACACCTCTACATACACATTTATATACTAAACGTACTTCTAAGACCCCCTCTTGTTCCATATGTAGAACTCTCTAAATTATGCATACTCTACAAACTACAGAAAGACTAGATATATCTAAACACAGGCACAATTAGACTTATATATAATATGACTGTTGCCTTACTAATGAGCCACCTGAAGCAAATTTCAACAATAATCAGCTAAACAATCCATTTTGTACAATGCATTACCCTAAGATCTTTTTCAAGGCTGGTACAGGATACCGTAACATCGGCCATGGTCATATTGTACACAGGATACTCAGCTCTCGGGACACATTGCTGGGACTGCATACAATACAGGACTACTTGTGGTCCAACAATTCTACAACCAAGCTGAAATAAAATAACAGAAAAAAAATAGCAGAAGGTACACTGGTATAAGGCAGGCCTTCCTTGTCCCAGAATCCTGAGGAAGGCAGGGCCCTTGGTCTCTCCCCCTCCTTCTCCCCTAGCATCCCCAGGTAGTTGTCAGTTTTGTTTCTACTTTCAGCTGCAGATGTTCAATACAACCCTTAAGTTTCCTAAGGTTTTCTGGCCTCAGTAAAAGCAGCCAATACTATAGCTAATATGCCAGAGAATTTCAGCTAGCCTATCTTTATCTGCTGGACAATTCTTTGCAGGTCAAACAAAATCATGTTACTCAGGAGGTAAAAAGTGTGAGAGTTAGCTTCACAACTCCAGCAGAATCAGAACTGATGATACTATTTATTTTTCCACATGCTTCAAAATAATCCTTGTGCTTTGCTAGTCGTCTTCTTTCTCAAATACAGGATGCAGTGAAGTTTTAAACATTTTATTGTGAATACTTCATACTGCTATATTCAGTGCACAAAGAGAGAACATACAGAGTGCAAGGATGGACATGAGCGCTTCCAGAAAAGAAAGTACAGCTAGAAGCAAGCTGATGGACAGCATACCTTTTTGAGATGACTGAAACCAGTGCCTCTAAAAGGATCACAAATGTAAAGCGATTTATCATTTTCTTTTATATTGAGTGCAGCTTCTTCTTCAAGGATCTGGAGATGTTCTTGTGACTGAAATTCTTTTATAGACTGCAGGAAAACAGTGCATACAACAACATTTATTTCATTAACAAATCAGAAATAGCCTACCCTATAGAAACTACACATTTAATTGAAACAGCTCACAACAAAGCTACCATGCAAGAGTATATTGGCAGACTATCTCATGGGTGCTCCCCTCGTTCCCCCAGGCCTTCACAATACCCAAATTTCATCATACAAACTTTCAGGACTTGATCCTGCCACACAGTGCCTTTTGTTCTCACAAACCTCTCAGGGTGGAAAACAACCCAGTGTCCTCCCTAAATTTGCTTAGTGTGCAGGTAGGTGAGGTACCACCATCCAGACCTTTCAAGTTACATGTCACTTCACTGAATGTCAATATGTTTTGGAACGATAATTACTTTTTGTTCAGGAAGAAACATCAACTGTTCAAAAAACTTTATTAAACACGCCTACGACAGAAACAGCTTTATTTCCAGATGCATGCATATAAGCTACATCTAAGTCAACTACAGAAATAACCTGGTAATTCACTAAGCTCACTGAGAAAGGTGATCAAACCTACTTACCTCGAGAGCTTTTATAAAATACTCTGAGTTCCCAGAAGACTTTATGAATTTCACGCAATACGGCTCCTTACTACCTTTCATCCTTTAACTGAGAAGGAAAACCCGGTAAGAGTCCTGACATTTTCGCCGTAGCCCGGAACCGCGCAGCGCCGGGACGCTCCACCCACCTCCCGGAGCTGCGGAACCCCTCTCGGCCCTCTCCGTGCCCCCGCCGGCCCTCGGGCCTGTCCCACGCCGCCCAGCCTCGGCGCCGACTTTTACCGGAAAGGGGCGGAGGAAGGCGGGGGAACCGGGCCCACAGGGATGCCCCTTCCCCACAGGACCCCCTCCTTAGGCCGGCATGCTGCTGCCTCCCGACGCTCCCCCCTCAGGGCTCCCGCGCACCCACC